TTTCATATTTCACAAATTGCCTAAAACTGCTAAGTAATAAATTAAATTTGTAAGGGTACATATTCGCCCCCTCTAGTTCTCGGTGACCACGCCTGTCTGGCACGATGGCGGACTCAAATATCCAACCGGTTCCCATCATGACGCTCTAGTTAGTTGGTGTATTCTCTCTCCTAAGCCGACACCGGGAGACCCACTCTGTCGGATTTGCCACGCTTAGTTCTTGTGATGTTTACTCTGATACAAGCACCTCGGGCCTCTCGACCACAAGCCTAGCGCCCCTCATCGACCGACAACTTTGATATCTTGGTCCTCCTCCACAACTTATCGCTGCCATTTACTCCTTATTTTGCTCCTCCATAACCATCATGATGGGGGGTCTCATCATGCAACGATCACCAGAGCTCCACAAGATCCATGGTGAACTCCAATACCGAGGTAGAGCCGTTCCAAATCATTTTAATATCCAAGGTGATATAAAACCATAATATATTTATACTAAACTTTTATGCTTATTTTATGTTAATAGTACCATAATAATTTCAATTGGTATAATTATTCTACTAATTACCTACCATAGTTAGCCATACAACGTTTCTAAATAATATTATATTATTTTTTGTTATGTTGTTGGAATGTATTTCATTCAAACATTTCTTCTGTGAGGTTTAAATTTTATGATGTAACATTTTCTGTTTGGGAAAATTATTTTGAATTAATTTTTGGTTATTGCATAAAGTATGTAGTGTATACACATATATTTGCAGAACTATGCATGTGTTCATACATATTTATTATTAAATACTCCCTCCGTTCCTCAATATAGGGTGTATAGTTTTTGGCACGGAAATTAAAGAATGCACGTGGAGGGAAAATTTCACAAGTTTTGAGCGAGATAACACTTGACTAATTGACATGAGAAAATAGAGGAGCATGCCTAATATCAAGAAATGTAATCAAATCCCTAAAAAATTATCCAAACGAGTGGTGCAACGCAATGCACCTTATATTTCAGTTTTTTTTCTCAAAAATCTATACACCTTATATCAAGGAACGGAGGGAGTATTGTGGTAGAGATTTTTGAATCAGATACACTAACCAATATCTTAATAGTAGTTTCTATTCTTCTACCAACTAACAATCATATGTGCTCCATACGTCCCAACGATCAGGTACACACTAGTGCAGAAAATTTTAGCAGTTGACCTCTACTAATAGCATGCATGACTTAGAACTTCTTATCTTCTTCTCTTCTTTATCCGAGAAGCAATCACTAAACACATGGGTTGTCCCTCTAGCTATTATCTACATGACACTAGAACATAAATCTGCGCTTTGCTTCATCCATCCATAATAAGGAAATAACTATGTAGATGTCTAAAAATGAATGGAACAATAGAAATATGTGAGTTGTAGTACAATTAAAGAATAATATGCGTTGATATATATAGACCATTGAGCGTATTTTTTGGGTAACATCCAGTGAGTCGGTAATTCAATAGCATACACATTTTTTTGCGTGGGCTAGTGATTATTCACAATAATAACAGACACAATTAAACAAGGAAAATAGTAAAACGAATTATTAGTAATGATTGCACTTAAGCTTGCTGTCTAGCCACATATAGTTTCATATCACTAGTTATAATTCTCAAGTTAAACCTGATGGAAATATACCCTAGAGGCAATAATAAAATGGTTATTATTATATTTCCTAAATCATGATAAAGGTTTATTATTCATGCTAGAATTGTATTGACCGGAAACTTCAATACATGTGTGGATACACAAACAAATACCATGTCCCTAGTGAGTCTCTACTAGACTAGCTCGTTGATCAAAGATGGTTAAGGTTTCCTAACCATAGACATGAGTTTTCATTTGATATCGGGATCACATTATTAGGAGACTGATGTGATGGACAAGATCCATCCGTAAGCTTAGCATTTGATCGTTCAGTTTATTGATATTGCTTTCTTAATGTCAAATACATATTCCTTCGACTATGAGATTATGCAGCTCCCGTATACTGGAGGAATACCTTGTGTGCTATCAAATGTCACAACGTAACTGGGTGATCATAAAGATGCTCTACAGGTATCTCCGAAGGTGTTTGTTGACTTGGCATAGATCGAGATTATGATTTGTTACTCTGTGTATCGGAGAGGTATCTCTAGGCCCTCTTGGTAATACACATCACAAGAAGCTTGCAAGCAAAGTGACTAAGGAGTTAGTTATGAGATGATGTATTACAGAACGAGTAAAGAGACTTGCCGGTAACGAGATTGAACTAGGCATGAATATACCAATGGTCGAATCTCGAGCAAGTAACATATCGACACACAAAGGGAATTACGTATGTTGTCATAAGGTTCGACCAATAAAGATCTTTGTAGAATATGTAGGAACCAATATGGGCATCCAGGTTCCGCTATTGGTTATTGACCGGAGAGGTGTCTCGGTCATGTCTACATAGTTCTCGAACCAGTAGGGTCCACACGCTTAACGTTCGTCGACGATATAGTATTGTATGAGTTATGTGAGTTGATGACCGAATGTTGTTCAGAGTCCCGGATGAGATCACAGGCATGACGAGGAGCTCCGGAATGGTCCGGAGGTAAGGATTGATATATAGGACAATAGTATTTGGTCACCGAAAAGGTTTCAGAAATACCGAGTATTTTGTCAGGGTGCCGGAAGGGGTTCCGGGAGGCCACTGACAAGCGGTGGGCCTTACGGCCTAAAGGGGGGAAGCACACCAGCCCACAAGGGGGCTGGTGTGCCCCTCCACCCCTTGCCGACGCCCCTAAGAGGGAGGGAAGGAAGGGGCAGGCACCCCAAAGGCAGCCAGCCCCCCTTTCTCCCCCCCATGCACAAATATGGAAGGGGGGATTCAGCCAGGGTAGGCGCCCTAGGGCAGCCGCCGGCCACTTGGGGCACCCTAGGGGCTGCCTCCCCTCCCCACGATTCCCTAGCCGTGTGCGGCACCCCTCTCCCTCTAGTTCATCCTCGGTCATATTTTCGTAGTGCTCGGCAAAGCCTTGCGGAGATAGTTGCATCACTACCTTCACCACATCATCCTTGGATCGCGAAGAAATTCGACTACATCAACCACATTACTAAACGCTTTTGCTTACTGTCTGCGATGGTACGTAGACACACTCTCCCCTCTCGTTGCTATGCATCTCCATGGATAGATCTTGCGTGAGCATAGAATTTTTTTGGTTTTCCATGCAACGTTTCCCAACAAAACCTTCATAGTTAACTAGGCGCGTCGCAAGCGAAAAATTATTCTATCAGAGAATTAATTCTCTTTGGAGCTTTTTCAAACAGAAATTCAACAAAAAGGGCTTTTGGTTAGAATACTCAAGTGTCTCATTGACACCCACGAGTCCCTGTGAATCATGACTTTCAAGTATTTCCCTCAATGATTGCTCGTCATAACTTGAATCTTTGGTGATGGGTTATGTCAAAAGGTGATGGATGCAATGGGTTTTCACTTGTGGCTTAAATTTGTACACTATGGACAAAACAATTGTGTCTTTTGAGCGCAGCGATCAGTGTTCGATTTTTACCACATACACATCGCTCAAGACAAAGACTAACATCTTAGCATAAACTCAAGAGCACTGACAGGGTCACATTTACGCATGTAAAGCCACATATAGTGATAAGACATAGAATCAGAGAGAAGCTGAAGCACCATGATTTTTTTATTGTGGACAAACTTTGACATAACCTCGGTCACCTCAAATATCCCGTTCTAAAAACAACTTTATCAGTAAGTACCATCAAGGCAATCAAATTCATGACCTTGGCCTAATCTTCAGCCTCCGCCCGACTCCGTGGTTCTATAGTTTTTCTAGGCATTGACAACAAGACCATTGGCAACGACATTTCTGGCCGTTTTTTGGTCGACCCATGGCTCGAGGGCAGTTCCATCATTGACCTCGCACCCATTGCGTCAAGTAGGAGGAGGCGCTCCCACATGGTTGCCCATGCTCTTCATGACCGCGTCAGGATTCTTGACATCTAGGGATTACTTGGGTCGACCGTCACTACCGAATATGTTGACATTTGGCGCCAACTACAATAGGTGGTGCTCACACCGCAACCAGACCCGATTCAATGGCGATGGACTCACAACGACGTCTACTTGGCGACCCCGTGCCACAATGCGCATTTCTTGGGTTTTACCTCGACCGAGCACTGGCTCCTAGTTTGGAAGACCCAGGCCCCCTTTCGGTCAAATTCTTCATCGGCTTGTACTCCCAGAACAGATGTTCCGCTTATCACTTAGCCGCCGCAGACTGCCCCACGAGCCAACTTCCTTCGTCTGCTCCCGGAAGCCTGAGACGCCGATTTACATCCTGGTAAGCTGTGTCTTCGCTCGTGTTATTTGGCATTAACTTCTCTCTTAGTGTTGTCGTACGGTTCTCCCGCGCCCGCGCAGATAGATTCTTGAGCTTCTTTGACTGGATGTCCACGATATTGGACACTACTCCGACACCTCTACGGTGTGGCCTGGCAACCATTGCCGTCCTAACTGCCTAGTCACTTGGGCGGCACCACAATGTCGTAATCTTCACAAGATCATGCCCTCTTCCTCGACACTTGTAGGCGCGATCAAGGAGGAGGCTCACTATTGGGCTGCTGCTGGAGTTAAACGACTGTATTAGTTAATCCCTGTAACTTGAATTACCATTGTTGGAACTGAGCATCCCCTTTGTTTTCCGCTCCACAAGGGTCTCGGCCACATCAATTTGTGTACGTGGCTAGGACGCTACCCTGTAATTTCTTTCCTTTATTAATGCAATGATACGCTTTAAGGTGTATTCGTAAAAAAAAGTTTTAAATGAGATGTTTACGCACAATTTAAATGATTAGGTCCCCACATTTTCTAACTCCTTGTATTAGAGATGGCCTAACCGAATTATTGACGTGTCGACTGTCGACCATATCCTTGGCATCCTTCTGTTATCCATAGCGTAGGCACAGCAGCCATGGAGGACGGCAGAGCCATGGAGGAGGCCAACGGCGACGACCACGGCGCCTTCATGGAGAAATTCATCCTGCCGCCGCCTCCTTCCTCCGATCATCATCATCATCAGCAGCTACCCCTGCACGGCCTCACCTTCGCCATCAAGGACATGTACTGCGACCTCGCTCCCTCTCTCCCTCCCTCGATCACATCGATGTTCAGCAATCTGACTGACTGACTAGTCGATTCATGGCAGCTTCGACGTCGCCGGCCGCGTCACCGGCTTCGGCACCCCGGACTGGGCCCGGACGCACGCGCCGGCCGCCGCAACCGCCCCCGCCGTTCTGGCCGCGCTCGCCGCCGGCGCCACAGGCGTGGGCAAGACGGTGATGGACGAGATGGCCTACAGCATCAACGGCGAGAACGCGCACTACGGCACCCCCGCCAACCCCTGCGCCCCTGGCCGCGTCCCCGGCGGCTCCTCCAGCGGCTCCGCCGTCGCTGTCGCCGCCAGCCTCGCCGACTTCGCCCTCGGCACCGACACCGGCGGCAGCGTCAGGGTGCCCGCCGCCTACTGCGGCATCTTCGGCCTCCGCCCCTCCCACGGAGTGGTCTCCGCCGAGAACGTCGTCCCCATGGCGCAGATGTTCGACACTGTCGGTAAATTCAGTCTAGCCGTGTTCAGCAGACACATTATCCATCTGTTCATTCAGTTGTATAAGTGTCTGAACATCCGAGTGTAATTATGCTTATAGGGTGGTTTGCTAGAGATCTTCCTACGCTGTCTCGTGTCACCGACGTGATGCTGCCCCCGATGCCAGCTGCCACCGACGTCGATGCCGAGATACGACGACGACCGAGCCGTGTCATCATTCCTGCAGGCTGTTTCAAGATCTTGGGCTCTGTGGACGACCACACCTACGAGATCCTCAACGCTTCAGCGGCCAAGATATTTGGCAGTAAGTATAGGAGAGTGGAGCAGAGGAGGGTAATGCAGAGTATAGGTTTTCTGGAACTTGATGCAGGGCAGAGCAGAGCAGAGCAGGGCATCTCAACTTACATATACAAGTGTCTGAAACTTGTGAGGTGTGTTTGGCAGGTGATGCAGTGGTGGACAATGGAAACCTTGGTGATTTTGTCTCCAGCAATGTTCCGAGCATCGGCAAGTTCATGACCGACTTGTCCGCGGTCGAAGCATCATCGTCGTGTGTGCCGCCTCTGTCTGCCATCTCACGTGTCATGCGAGTCCTTCAAAGGTGTGCAATCACAACATACCTTCTTAATCACACGTGATATCATAAAATTGTGCCATTACCATGACTCCACCGTCAGATGAACTCAATCATCTTAGTAAAGGAAATGCCAGCAGTTCACTATAAATTGTACTTTTGCACACGAATGAGATCAAATGTACCGTATGTTTTCAGGTCTGAATTCAAAGCAAACCACGCGGAGTGGGTGAACATGGTGAAGCCAAACCTCGGCCCTGGCATCCGAGAGCGGGTGCAGGAGGCCATCGCATCGGAGGATGAATCTGCCATGGATGATCTTCATGCCGTCAGGACTGAATTCAAATCTGCGTTAGCCACTCTTCTAAAGGTAAACTCATACACTGTTCATAATCCCTATATATATACACTTTTGCTCCGTTTTAATGAATTTGCATACTGTAGGACGATGGAATCCTGGCGATCCCTACAGTCCCCGGCGCCCCACCGAAGCTATGCCTGGACGCGGCACTGCTGGAGGACTTCCGGGCGAGGGCCTTCTCGCTGCTGTCCATCGCCGGCCTGTCGGGGTTCTGCCAGATCAGCATCCCGCTGAGCACCTGTGACGGCGTCCCGGTGTCAGTGTCGCTGCTCGCGGGGCACGGCGGTGACCGTTTCCTCGTCGCTGTAGCCCAGGAGCTCCATGAGGCGCTCCAAGCCGAGGCCGCGGCAGCCTGGGGCTCGTCAGCTTAGCCCAATTCTGTCATATCTTGCTGAATCCTCGAGTACAAGAAATTGTGTGACTCTATCTGAACATATGGAATATATACCGTGAAGTTTGTGTAGTGACTAGATTTTGACAATTATATATGCAAACAGATTTAGACCGTTGATTAATACAAACCGAAATACTCACACAACACAACAATCCTAATCGATTACATCTCTAAGCGATTGATACGGGAGAACCAAAGGGATCTTCCATAATTGCCCAGAATCATAGTTTTAAATATCCATTCCATGTAGCGGCACCTGCTCAAATAGCTATAGCCTCGCTGTAACTGATTTGAAGGGCGGCCGCTATTTGCCATAGCCAGCTATTTAAAACACTGCCTAGAATCGATCAAACACCCATCTCTCACGCGTCGCCATATCCTGATCATCCTCCTCGTCGTCTTGGTCATCACAAATACCACAAGCCTCATCGTCACCATCATACTCAGCATCCATCGCCAGCCTGACCAAGTAGTTCTCTTCCAGCTGCCTCGGCGTTAGCACAAGGATACGTCGTGTGTGGTCCTCGTCGAATAAAAAGTAGAGGAAGTCGGGGACGATGTCGGCTTGGTGATCTATGAGGTGGGGCGTTGATGACTTGCCCGGTTCGAGACGACCCGTCGTGGCCTCCGCCTCTCCGACCGTCGCTTCCATGGGTTGTTTTGGCTGATCCGTCCACCTCTCCGATCGATCGAGCTTGTTTTTTCCTTCCGCCGATCGGTGTACGTACGGCTGAGTAGATGTCGGAGTTGTTGATTGGGCTGCCTTGGCTTGGCTTGCCCAACACTTATAGAAGGCGTGCATGCATGCATGGATCGAGTCGGAGTGCAAGTCGGACCGAATACTGGTTCCAACGGACATGCATGCTCGAGCAGCCATGGCCACTGGTTGCAACGGACACAGGGAGACGGGAAGAGGCGGCCTCATCGCCGTGCTTGTCGGCGGCCTCGGCCGTGTGCTTCTGACGGCAAGCAGCGCAAGGAGGCGTCGGTTTGACAGGGAGCTCGAGGGGATCCAGATCCAGATCCCATAACACAGGTAGTGGTGAGGAGATTGCAGCAACGGCTGAGTTGTGAAAATTAGTCTAGGTAATAATATGTTGCTTCTGAGTCATCTAATTAAAATCGATCCGACAGTTATGGAGCCGTCGGACGCATGTATTGTTATCGGTCAGGTGGGTTGAGTAATTTCCCTATTACTAATCCATTGTTTTTTGCTAGTACTAGCACATATGCCCGTGCGTTGCAACAGAAAAAAATTGATGTTTTGCACAAGTATAATGTCCCACAACATCGGATTCATTATGAAGAACATGTTGCAACGCAACATCGTTTTTCTACAAAATGAACATAAAAAATACGTCGCAATTTAGTCGTGTTCATATTTTCTTTGCGGGGCGTAATGTCCCACTGATTTCATTTAAATACAATCCTTTTTTAATGGCATTTAAGTATGATCCTTTCATTAATTACCTTGAAGTCCTGAATCGTTTTAGTCGGGAATCAAATCCTTCCTTTTCTAATTTAGTAGCCCCAACACATTAAGGCCTATAGATCCTTTCTTTTAGTTATCCTATCTTTTTACCTCAAATCCTTCATGTAGAATTTAATAAGACCACAATCTTTCTAATAGTTATTCCACCAATTTACCCATAATCCTTTGTTTAATTAGCCATATTCGTTTAAATATTATATTTAAGCCCACAATCCTTCCTTTATTAACTCATTCGCTTAATTAGCTCTCCCTAAACATGAGCCTTGGACCTCACCCTTCCCCATCTACAGGAACGAAGGGCGATTTGTGCAAACCCCGGGCTCTCCACCTCGCTGTTGCCGAATCGACGGCTCCCTCGCCCTCCGCCGGACGCTCCGGCGGCGGGAGGACGGGGGAGTCCCGATTTGCAGCGTGTACATAGTGTAGGAGTGCCTAGGGAGCCAGTCGGTGGCATCGTGGAGGCAGCGATGCGACTGGATCGGCTTTTTGCAGGTGTTGGTCTCCCCTTTGACGGCGAAGTTCCGGTGGAGCTCCGCGGTGGACCAGCTCTTTTCTTCGTGCTCGCTGCTCGGTGGAGAGGCCATGCACAGTTCCCCCATGCCGGAGATCGAGGGATGGCGATTCCGGCGGTTGAATATCTGGAGAAGGAAGGCGATGTTGAGCGGTGTGACGACGACGACGGCCATGGGTGTAGGTCCTCAGGGACCGTTGATCGGAGACTTCCCGTTTTGCCCGGGGGCTGCTTCGATCCAAGGCGTCAGCGAGCAGCGGCGAACGGCGCGTCACCGGCTCGTCCACGGCGCCGGCATAGTCGGCTTGCAGAGGGGCTTGGCTGTAATTTCCTTTTCTGTGTGGACCTTTATGTAATTTGGCCGTTTTAATATCAACTTCTTTTCTCACAAAAAATAAATAAATAAATAAACATGATGACTGCCACTTGTCTTTGTCTTGTGTTCAATTCCCACAATGTTGATTTATTTTGACACAATTATTTTTCGCGGTCTCTCTATGAAAGTCCATAAAAGGCCCATCAACATACAAGTAACTAGCCCAGATCGCTTAACGCGGTCCCTCTTGATTGTAACACTATTACCTTGCAATAAAAACTCCCTTCACCTCGCAAAAAAAAAGTATAAAATAAAATAAATAAAACGAGGGTCAGTGTCTGAGCCGATAGATCCGTTTGCGAACGCGAAGATTCCAGCTAACAGGATGCAGGCACATACATGTAAATATGACGACGATACCCTTCCTTTGCTTGTTCGTTGACTAATCGTGATACTAGCTCTTGTCCTTGTGATTGTGCTGCTCTTGGCTGGACGCGACAGAAGATCCAAGGGCTTTCATTTCAGTTTCTGTAGTGCAAAGTTGATGGTCCAGCTGCCCCTTCTGAGATTCCTTCCACTCTACAGTGTGTATGAGTTGGACGTGTTTGTATTCCCAAGCGCGCACAGATGGATACAAACATCAAAGGAACCATCAAAAATACTAAGAGGAAACACGTGCATGTTACCTTAATTAGTAATAAAAAAACAAAATCCATAAAAAGCTAGCTCTTCTCTTTGTTTGGAGTAGACGAGACGACGAATGCCGATGGAGAGAACAGCCATGCCCATGGCCGGCCTCTTCCGGTCACCTCATCCCTCCATCTACGCTCCTCCACCACCGTCATCTCACCGGGTGCCACCAATCCGCCGCGCCACCACGAGAATTACAAGCAGCAGCAGCAGCATCAACAGCGAGTCCTCCTCCACCAACACCAACACCACCACCAAAACCGCCACGACGGTGAAACTGACGTACCTAGAGTTCAACGGGTGGCTGTGGGAGCTGGACGGCGGCCGCTTCCGCGTCCTCGTCGACCCGCTCCTCGTCGGCAACCTCGACTTCGGCATGCCCTGGCTCTTCGACGGCGCCAAGAAGACGCTCCCCAAAGACGGCCTCCAGGACCTCCAGGAGGACCTCGCCGTCGTCGACCTGCTCCTCATCACCTCCAGTCTCGATGACCACTGCCACGTCCGCACGCTCACCCGCCTCGCCGCCATCTCCCCCGACCTCCCCGTCGTTGCCACGCCGAACGCGCGCCCCATCCTCGCCGCCCTCCCCTTCAACGACGTCATCTACCTGGAGCCGGGCCAGTCCACCACGGTCGTCGGTGCCACCACCGACTCCGAAGCCACGGTGCTGGCCACCCCCGGCCCCGTAAACGGGCCGCCGTGGCAGCGCCCGGAGAACAGCTACATGGTCACCACCACCGGAAAGGGACAGCGCAAACACAACATCTACTATGAGCCGCACTGCATGTACAACGCCGGCTTCCTGCGCGACCGCGGGCTGCACGCCGACGTGGTCATCACGCCTGTCGTCAAGCAGCAACTCCTGGCCACCTTCACCCTCGTGTCCGGCCAGGAGGACGCCGTTGAGCTCGCCCGGCTGCTCCGCGCCGCGTACATAGTGCCCATGAGCAACGGCGAGTGCGACGCAAAGGGGCTCCTCACCGCCGTCATCTCCACCCAGGGCACCACGCAAACCTTCAAGGACCTGCTTGCCGACGCGCTCCCCCAAACGCAGGTCGTCCAGCCCACGCCCGGCGTCCCGCTCTACCTCCACTTCCAGGACGACAACAACACTTCTGCACCATCGTCGTCGTCATCATAAAGTGATATCAAGGGATGATTAATTCTTAGAAGAACTTCCATCTAGCTAGTCATCTTGATATGCATTAGTAAATCATAGTTGGTAAATTCTTATTACCATATACGTATGTATGTATGTATGTATGTATGTATGTATGTACTTCCTCGGTTCCTAAATGTAAGTCTTTTTACATATTTCAATATAGACTACATATGAATGTATATAGAGGTAGTTTAGAGTGTAGATTCACTCATTTTATTCCGTACATAGTCTATACTGAAATCTTTAAAAAGACTTATGTTTAGAAACGAAGGGAGTATAATGTAATCTTGGTCCTTGGTCCATCCCAACTGTGTGAGTAGTAAAATGTGAAAATACGTGGATTTGCTATTTCTCATATGGCTGAATTTTTTTAAAGCATCAATCACTTTTTCTTAGTTCATCCTGAGCTTGCCGGAGAAGAAATAGCCTCACTATCTATCTTATGGGAATCCATGGCCTAATTATCTCAGGGGAAGCCATGGCTCCATTATCTATCTTAGGGGGTGGGAGATGCAGGGGTGCGGGGGATAGCCGGAGTTGTGCGGTGGGGCTTAGAGGGACTACTGGAGCAGCGGCCAGCACAGTGGTGGGGGAGGGCGAGGGAAGGGCGGGGCAGTGAGTTGGCGATAGCCACCTGCCCCGGGGCAGAGGGAGGCGGAGAGGCCTAGGTTGACTGGAGCTGCATGAGAAGGAAAGAAAAGGAGGAGGAAGATGAACAACACTTGATCTATTTTCAGTGGTTGGATGCAAATCGGATGGTGCAGATGTCTTCACTATCTATGGGTAAATTGTAGTTGCTAAATTCTTATTATCATGTATGTATGTATGTATGTATGTATGTATGTATGTATGTATGTATGTATGTATAATGTAATCTTGGTCCTTGGTCCATCCCAACTGTGTGTGGTGTCGTCTACTGGATGCCGAAGTGGCAAAATGTGAAAATATGCGGATTTGTTATTTCTCAGGTGCCTGGAATTTTCCAAAGCGCTAATCATATTTTGTTAGTTCATTTTGAGCTCACCAGAGAAGAAATAGCTTCACTATTTATCTTAGGAGAAGCCATGACCCCGTTATCTATCTTAGGGGGTGGGGATGTACTGGTGTAGGGGATCGCCGTAGTTGTGCAGCGGGGCTTAGCTAGAGGGATGGCTGGCTGGCTGGCGGACAGCACGGCGGTAGGGGGAGGTCGAAAGAAGGGCGCCGTGGTGAGGCGATGATAGCCGCCGGCCACGGGTAGCGGAGGCTGGCAGATAGGCCTGGTTTGGCCGACGACTGCGTGAGAAGGAATTAGGAAGGGAAGAAGACAACCAACTGTGCTTGATATATTTTCAACAGTTGGATGCAAATCGGATGATGCAGAAAGAAAGTGATTGATGCTAATTGTTTCTTCAAGCACCTGACCTATAGACGACCCCGAAAATATGTTCTTTCTTAGCCGGTTCTTTCAGTGGAATTGGCTAACCTATATTTTCCGGACAACTAACCCACCGTGATAAAATTGTTTCCCGGTCGTTTATTTCAGTGCAGTCGGTTTGCTTTGAGAAACCATCGCATGAGTCTGTTTCTTGCCTTATGTTTTCTGTAAACCAGATTCGGTGAGGAGTTCAGGAGAGTCATTTTTGCCGTGTTTTTTCAATGGTCCGGCTTTGCTCACACGGAGAGGCATAACATATTTCAAGTTGCACAAAAAAGGAAAATAAGAAAGGTATGACATGCCACAGCGAAAAACTCAAAAAACATCCTATGAATTGCACGCTCACGACTTCCTTGATAAGACATCCGTGTCTCCACTCTTTTTGAAAAGGAGGATTTACCCCGGCCTGCATCGATCGATGCACGCAAGATGTCAATGTAAAGAATGTGCGATTTTTTGAAGATGCCCAATACTTGTCAAAATCCATTCGCACCTAGATATGCCCCAACGAAGACAGCACAAGGAGATCAGTTGTCATCCACGAGCACGAGCAGAGCTATGGCATATATGTGGCTAAATTTTGTGTTTTAACCCTTTTTTAAAAGTTAATCAAGATCTGACCCTAGTTTAAAAAAATTCAGGATCTGACCATTTTTCCTACCGCCGTTGTCCTTGACGGTAGGGTAACACAACCTACCGCCAACATCAGTGACGGTAGGACTTAACTACGCTATGATGGCCGTTTGACAGAAAAAAAATACCCTGCCGCCAGGGCCTTTGGTGGTAGGCTATGAAACCCTACCGCCAAATACCATGGCGGTAGGCATGTTCGCTGTTGAAATATGTGCAGTGGTCTCTCTGGCGCCCTATTCGGCGTGTGAACTTTTACCACTGGTAAAGCCTCCTTTCCAAAAAAGATTATGTTCTTTTGCCTCCCGCTGGTGCCCGTGATTGGTCCATCTCGTCTCTGGTGCCCATAAGGCCATGGGGGCGCGGTGGATTTCGGCCCTCATCGTCGTGTGAAGGTGTGTCTCGGGTGAATTTTGTCTTTGGTGGATTTGCTCGGATCTGCTTGTTGTTCATCTACGTTCATGTATCTTTAGGTTGAATACTTCCGATCTATGCTACTCTTCATCAGCAGCGGTTGTTGTTCTGGTGCGCTGGTCCTATGGGGCCTTAGCACGACGACTTGCCAACTATGTACCACAACAGTTTTGCCCGGCACCGGCGAGGGAGGGGTGTTCACGCCGACATGCCTTTGGCTCGCTTCAGTGCTTGTAGTCATCGCTAGGTGGTCTATGAATCTGGAGTAATCTTTTATTTATTTCTGATATTCATTGTACCGTCATAATTGAAGATGAATAGATTGAAGGTTTTCCTGCAAAATAAAAAGAATGACATTGAAAATAGGTGGCGAAAGCTCTGTGTAAGCATTGAGAGGACACATATGGACTAACGTTGAGTTTTTCCACCTTGGTGCACAACCAATGGCGTAGAGACAAGAGGACACTTGTGGACTAACCTAGCGTTTGAACTTGGTGCTCACCCAATGGCAGTGACAAGATGACACTAGTGGACGTACCTAGCGTTTACATCTTGGTGTTCAACCAATGACGTAGAGACAAGAGGAAACTTATGGACTAACCTAGCGTTTTCATCTTGGTGCTCAACCTATGGCGTAGAGACAAGATTTAACACTTATGGACTGACCTAGCGTTTCATCTTGGTGCTCAACCTATGGCGTGGAGAGAAGATTTGACACTTATGGACTAACCTAACCTTTTCATCTTGCTGCTCATGCCAATGGTGTAGAGATAGCGGACACCTATGGATGTGTGTGCCGTATCTGTCTATTTGCTTCCTTTTCTACAGAAAATATCGTGTTGCAAATATAAGGATGTGATTAATTTGGCCGTCCAATGGATGGAGCTATCAAATCTAGTACTTCACTAGCGTTGTCATGCATAATGCCATCGATCAATATTATATTACCAATGCAATTATCGTTCTACGCTTCATCTGCATGGTGGTCCTTGCACTCCTGCTCCTCCTCGTATCCCTTGTAGGGCCGGATAAAAAGCTCGAAGCTCGCGTGCATAACAAGCGCTTGACAGCTTAACTCATTTTAGCTCGTGCTTGTTGATTAGTTAATGAACCAAGCAGATCAACGTTTTTAGTTCGTATAGATTAGCGTGATTAATGTGCGAGCAAACAAGTTTCTGCTCATTGGACCTGATGAACTTGACCACCACTCTTCCGTTCTCGATGTTGTCGCAGATGAAGTGGTACAAAAGATCAATGTGCTTGCTTCGATCGTGCAACACTAGATTGTTTCCTCAAAGAGATAGTAGACTTGCTATCGATGAAGATCTTTGCAGCGCCCACATTTGGGTTCAGCTAATCAAAATAATACTAATTAATAGTAGCCAAAAGGAGAAATGCACATAGTTGTCGATCAGATAAAGCTATATATCATGGGCTAGGACACCGGCTAGTCAGCGGTCATTGCCTAAAGAAAAATAGCATTACCACTTTTCCGAGTGGCTAGGTTGGTAAGAAGGATTTTTTAATGTATAAAATAACTTTTAAAATATTACAGGTAGGGATCCAACAATTTTGAAAGTGTAAGCCTTCATAATATTAAAGCAAACTTTCAAATTTAATTATGGACATTTGAAATATAAAGGTGGCTTCTTGATCGTTATAGTTCGAGTAAAAGAAAGATCAACCAGAAAACTAGAAATATAGGAAATTATTAAAAAGACAAAGAAGGCTTCCATGAGTTTAAAAGCAAACCTCAAAAAGTTCAGCGACCTTACAAACATTTTAAAAGTACAAGAATAAGTTTGAAATGAGTAAGGAGCCTTATCAAGACGCATAGCTCACCGTCATTGCACTGATAAGCACTTGGCTGATAAGGGAGTCGATGAGTTAGAAACCATGGACAGGACAGAGAATAGTCGGCATAAACTAACCTCGGAGAACGGTTGTTGCACCATGTTTCAAAGAGGAAAACGTCTTGTATTTCTCAGTTCTTAGCCGGTTTGAGTTTAGTATAGTGCATAGTTGAGTAGTGTTTTGCCGACTTAAACTCGACAGCTTTTTGTGCCATTTTTAGTGAAATGTGTGAACCTATTTTGTTATCTTTTATTACTTATAGCCACCAGTACCATGTCCGATAGCACGAAGCAGTCTGATTGGGGCTGAGAGCAAGTTTCAGCATGCACAACTGTTGTCAATACTTTACGGGCGATTCATGCCGCGGTAATTATGACAACATTCTTGTTTCCTGTAGAGCCAGCAGTTCCTGATTTACAACATCTGTACCACTTGCGGCATGAGCGATATGTCAATATTTGTTATTTGCTCCTTTAAATTACAAAAGAGGATGAGAAAACTGATATCAAGGTTCCAGTCACCCAAAGTACCAGCAAGAGGTACTAGGATAATGTTTTATGTGTTCAATGACAATCGAATGATCTTTTCATTTTGGTCTGGCCAATTAATTTATATCCCATCTTTTTCTTAACCTGACAAGCAGTCATTCCACTCTATATCTATA